TGCGGTTACCTTCTGCGAACTGCGGAGTCGCGGCTTCTGCCTTTCTTCCTCTTAATGCAAGCAGAAAGCTTTTGCACAGAGTTTGGCAAGGAGAACGTGTGACAGGACAGCACATGTTTGTGCAGTATACCCCTGCCACTGATGTAAGCACGAAATTGCAGCACCCTATGCCACCCATGGTGTGACAGGTTTCTGTGCTGCGCAGGATATTTCTCTGCATCTGTAAGTAAAACGGAAAGCGAATTTTTGTCACAGAGAGCAGCAACAACAGTAGGGAGCAGCAGAAGGAAGTCGTGATCTTACCTCTTCCACAAGACAACTAGCGAATAATTCGCAAGCGTGCGAGTGGCACCTGCGTTCCACTTGCAGTCTGAAAGTTTCGCACGCCAGATGCCAGTTAAACATGTTTCTTATTCGCTTGCCTGCACCGCTCGTGCTTTCCACCGCCCGCGCGCTGACCGGCACTCTCTCTCAGACACACATGGTACGTTGGCCGGTTGCCAAGAGCTCCGGAAAGCAGCTTCTGCCGAAGGAGGCTCGCCACTTGCGGTTACCTTCTGCGAACTGCGGAGTCGCGGCTTCTGCCTTTCTTGCTCTTAATGCAAGGGGAAAGCTTCTGCACCGTTTCTAGCGAGGAGAACGTGTGACAGGACCGCACATGTTTGTGCAGCTTACCCCTGCCACTTACACAAGCATGGATTTGCAACACCCTATGCCACCCATAGTGTGACAGCTTTCTGTGCTGCGCAGGGCATTTCTCTGCATCTGTAACTAAAACGGAAAGCGAATTGTTGTCACAGAGAGCAGCAACAGCAGTAGGGAGCAGCAGAAGGAAGTAGTGATCTTACCTCTTCCACACGACAACTAGCTACTAATTAGCAAGCGGGCGACTGGCAGTTACATTCCACTTGCAGTCTGAAAGTTTCGCGCGCCAGATGCCTGTCAAACATGTTTCTTATTCGCTTGCCTGCACCGCTCGCGCATTCCACTGCCCGCGCGCTGACCGGCACCGTCCCACAGACACACATGGTACTTTGGCCGGTTGCCAAGAGTCCTAAAAAGCGGCTTCTGCCGAAGGATGCTCGCCTCTTGCGCTCACCTTCTCCGAACTGCGGAGTCGCGGCTTCTGCCTTTCTTGCCCTTAATGCAAGCGGAAAGCTTTTGCACTGCTTCTGGAGAAGAGAACGTGTGACAGGACATCACATGTTTGTGCACCTTACCCCTGCCACTAACGCAACACGGATTTGCAGCACCCTATTCTTCCCATGGTGTGACTGGTTTCTGTGCTGCGCAGGATATTTCTCTGCTTCTGGGAGTAAAAGGGAAAACGAATAGTTGTCGCAGAGAGCAACAACAGCAGTAGGGAGCAGCAGAAGGAAGTCGAGGCAGTACTTCTTCCACACGACAACTTAGCGACTACTCAGCAAGTGTGCGAGTGGCAGCTACGATTCTCTTGCAGTCTGAAAGTTTCGTGCGCCAGATGCCTGTTAAACACCTTCCTTATTCGCCTGCCGGCAGAGCTCGCGCTTTCCACCGCCTGCACCCTGATCGGCACTCTCCCTCAGACAGACATGGTACTTTGGCCGGTTGCCAAGAGTCCTAAAAAGCGGCTTCTGCCGAAGGATGCTCGCCTCTTGCGGTTACCTTCTGCGAACTGCGGAGTCCCGGCTTCTGCCTTTCTTGCTCTTAATGCAAGCGGAAAGCTTTTGCACAGCTTCTGGCGAAGAGAACGTGTGACAGGACAGCACATGTTTGTGCAGTATACCCCTGCCACAGATGTAAGCACGAATTTGCAGCACCCTATGCCACCCATGGTGTGACAGATTTCTGTGCTGCGCAGGACATTTCTCTGCATCTGGGAGTAAAAGGGAAAGTGCAACTATTGTCGCAGAGAGCAGCAACAGCAGTAGGGAGCAGCAGAAGGAAGTAGTGATCTTACTTCTTCCACACGACAACTAGCTACTAATCAGCAAGCGTGCGAGTGGCAGCTGCTTTCATCTTGCAGTCTGAAAGTCTCGTGCACCAGATGCCTGTTAAACACCTTTTATTCGCCTGCCGGCAGCGCTCGCGCTTTCCACCGCCCGCGCGCTGACCGGCACTCTCTCTCAGACACACATGGTACGTTGGCCGGTTGCCAAGAGTCCTGAAAAGCGGCTTCTGCCGAAGGATGCTCGCCTCTTGCGGTTACCTTCTGCGAACTGCGGAGTCGCGGCTTCTGCCTTTCTTGCTCTTAATGCAAGCGGAAAGCTTTTGCACTGCGTCTGGCGAGGAGAACGTGTGACAGGACAGCACATGTTTGTGCAGTATACCCCTGCCACTGATGTAAGCACGAATTTGCAGCACCCTATGCCACCCATGGTGTGACAGGTTTCTGTGCTGCGCAGGACATTTCTCTGCATCTGGGAGTAAAAGGGAAAGTGCAACTATTGTCGCAGAGAGCAGCAACAGCAGTAGGGAGCAGCAGAAGGAAGTAATGATCTTACTTATTTCACACGAAAAATAGCTACTAATCAGCAAGCGTGGAGAGGCAGACGCTTTCCACTTGCAGTCTGAAAGTCTCGCGCACCAGATGCCTTTTAAACAGCTTCCTTATTCGCCTGCCCGCAGCGCTCTCGCTTTCCACCGCCCGCGCGCTGACCGGCACTCTCTCTCAGACACACATGGTACTTTGGCCGGTTGCCAAGAGCTCCGGGAAGCAGCTTCTGCCGAAGGAGGCTCGCCTCTTGCGGTTACCTTCTGCGAACTGCGGAGTCGCGGCTTCTGCCTTTCTTCCTCTTAATGCAAGCGGAAAGCTTTTGCAGTGCGTCTGGTGAGGAGAACGAGTGACAGGACAGAACATGTTTGTGTAGCTTACCCGTGCCCCTGACAGAAGTACGAATTTGCAGCACCCTATGCCACCCATGGTGTGACCGGTTTCTGTGCTGGGCAGGGCATTTCTCAGCATCTGGGAGTAAAGGGGAAAGCGCAATTGCCGCAGAGAGCAGCAACAGCAGTAGGGAGCAGCAGAAGGAAGTCGTGATCCTACCTCGTCCACAAGAAAACTAGCGACTAATTCGCAAGCGTGCGAGTGGCCGGTTGACAAGAGCTCCGGAGGGCAACTTCTGCCGAAAGAGGCTCGCCTCTTGCGGTTAGCTTTTCCGGACTCCGGAATCCCAGCTTTTGCCTGTCCTGCTCTTAATGCAAGGGGAAAAGTTTGCACTGCGTCTGGAGAGGAGCATCAGTGACAGGACAGCACTTGTCTGTGCAGCCTGCGCACAGGCCAGCTGAACCTGGCATCTCTGAATGGGTCTTTACATTCTTCCCAGGAAGATGAATGGCAATCACTATTTTGGCAGGGAGGAAAGTGCATCAGCTAGCAATTTGCTGTAGAAAATGTGCTTTCTGCTCCTCTCACAGCCAAAACTCCTACCCATATCTTGGAAGTCCTTCTTAGATAAGGACCGTGTTCAACTGAGTGACAGTGAAGCCAAATGGCAATGCCGCAATCAATTGTCCTGTACACAATCTCCTTCATCCACGTGGAAGGTTACTCACGGGCACACAAGAGGACGGAAGAAACCCAAATGCATCATTGGACATAATAAAGTCAGACGTGTGGAGGGATGAAGAAATCTTGCAGAGATATGGAAAGCTGCCCTGAAAACCCAGTTCGGGGAGAGCCTGAGCTCTTTTGTGCTTCTAGGCCTGAAGATGCTCAGCACCTTTCCCAGATGCTCAGCAGGCAGTAGGATTGTGCCTGAATCTGGCTCTGGAAATGCCAGTGCCTCAGCTGAGAGCTGTGGCAATGATTTCCATTGCATGGAGAGGGGCCACAGTCCTGCAAGAGTCTTTCAGCAGAGCAAACAGCAGCCTGGAGGGTGGGCCATCTGTACCACTGCATGCTCATCCTTCACCACAATGCAGAGCTGCCCTCAAAGCTGCCATGGATCACTTTTTACATTTCTCCTGTTGCATATATTTTGGAGAAGTTGTTCTAGGTGGCTTTGGATGGTGATCCAAGTAGGAAGCAGCCATGCGCCTGCTGTGATATCCTTACAACTAGTCCTAACTTCTCATTGCCTTTGGTTTGATTGGGGGTGTTTTATCTGTTTGTTTGATTGGTTTCTTTGGGTTAGTTTCTTTGTGTTTTTCTCTCTTTTGCTTGGAGTTTCTTTTCCTTTTTTAGAAATGACTGGTGAAGTTGGCACAACCAAACTCCAGAAGTTGTAAACCAGGCTTGACTTTCCAGAAATTGCTTTTGGCTGGCTTTAGCTGCATTCCCCAGCATCAGGATCAGCAGTAGATATTTGCAGGTTTTGCTCTGCATCATCAGCTTGCCCAGACTTGGCTCAGTGTTTCACCAGTGGAGAAGACAATGGATATTTTGCCAAACTTCCTTTGCAACAACAAAACTTGGGGCAGCACGACAGAAAAGAAGAAAAGAAAATATTCCCCAGTTAGAACAGAGCCAGAGTCCCACCATTTTCCCCTCCACTTTTCTATATTTTCTACATTTAGAGGCAAACCTTCCATCTCCAAAAGCTTCCATCTCCCACTTCCTGGTGCCGTTTGCTACCCTTTAGCCTTGACCCCCACGGATCTGAGTGCTGTCCATGTGGGGCTGGGGATGCTCAGCCTGGAAAGAGAAGGTGCTGGGGAGGCCTCCCTGCAGCTCTAGGAAAGATGGGCACAGAGAGGAGAAGGCTTTCAACTGCAGGAGTGAGATTGAAGTTGGATCTAATGAAGCTGCTCTTTTCCACTCAGGCTGTTGGGGCACTGGCCCAGGCTGTGCACAGAGGCTGGGGATGCTCCATCCTTGGCAACATCCAAGGCCAGCTGGGAGCGGGGCTCTGAGCAACAGATTCTGGGGGAAGATTGCTCCGCTTGGAACAAGATGGTCTTTAGGGTCCCTTCCAAGCCCAAGCACCCAGGGATTCCATCATTCTAGCATCCCCCTTGTCCACTTCAGCCTGGGCCTGGACTCCTGGCAGTGATGTCACAGCGCACGCTCCAGCTAGAACTTCCAGCATCCAGCAATGGCCACAACACAACCCTTGGCTCCTTGTGTCAGCACGCTCTTTACCCTGCTCCAAGGCTACCCTTGTCACCTTGTTGTCACCTGCTCCCTGATTCCCCCAGCAGTCCCCAAAGCTCCCCATTGCCTGGATTTTACTATCCATCCCTGCATAATGTCTGCATTTATTCCAAAGAAGGTATGGTACTATTCCACGGAGGTGGACACCCCGCAGCTGCCTGGGTGGGCTGGAGCTGTGTGGGTGGGCTGGAGCTGTGTGGGACAGTGTGGGAAAGGGACCCCACTGCGTGATTTTGCTACCTCTGCAGGCTGTCACAGACAGAGAGGAGGAGATGGAGGTCGATATACAGATTGATAGAGAGGAGGACATGGAAGTGGACATAGAGGAGACTCGAGAGGAAAAGATGGATGTGGATGTGACAGAGATGGAGGAAGAGATGGAGGTGGATACAAAGACTGATAGAGAAGAGCGCATGGAAGTGGATGGAGAGGAGACCGGAGAGGAAGAAATGGAGATCGAAATGGAAGACCACATTGAGGAGATGGATATTGATGGAAAAGATGATGAGGAGGACATGGTCTTGGGATGAAGACCGATGCCAGCAGCAGAACAGGCAGGTGCTCCTCACAGGCAGAGTGGGTCCCCTGCTGCCAGCCTAGGGCTGGGCTGGGACACGCTAGCCCATGCACTGGATTCTGGTGGCCATCCCTGGCCTGGCCTGGGCTTGCTTTGGGCCACACAAGCCCTGTTCCAGTGCCTGGGCCACAGCCCCCAGCCCCAGCCAGGCTCACTTCTGGCAGCAGAGTCCCACTGTGCCGGTGTCCCAGCCCGGGAGCACATGGAACACCCCTCCATGCCTGACTGCACTGACCGTGCTACTTGTTTTTCTTCCAGGACTGAGGCACATCCCAGACACAGATGCAACCTTCTGTACATAGGTTTTAGAGAGGTTATGTTCGCAATAGAAGTTTTAGAGTTTGCTTAAATCTACTGTAAATACGTTTCATATAGTTTGGTTAGATATGTTCTTAGGTAAATAGGTTCTATAGTTTCTTGTTGTTGTTACTAATATTCTTACAATGTAAATATGTTGTGTAGTTCATTCTTGTTCCTTTTCTTCTACAAATAAACATTCTTTGTTTTTCACACCCCAGTTCTCTTTGCATTTGCTTCGGGCACATTTGCAAAGTTGTGCTTTCCACTCGCTCCAGGTTCCCAGGGCTGGATGTCCCGGAGGGAGCTGGCACAGCCAGCCCAGGAGTGGGCTCCCTGTGCACAGGGGGTCCCACTGACAGAGCTCACCCTCTCCTTGCAGTTTCTCTGCACACACTTGGGAGCTGGAGGGGCAAATCCCAGTGGGCCCTGTCCCATGGCATCCCACATGGGAGCAGGGCTCAGCCTCATCCATGGCTCTTCCCTGGCTAGCTCCAGGGCTAAGGAGGCTGCACTGGGCTGTGGGCAGCCTGCTTCCTGCGCACCCTGAGGGGCTAGAGCCAGCCTGGAGGGAGCCTCAGCACAGGGGCCTCTGGCCTACATGCACCAAGATTTCCTTTGGAAAGCCCCTCTGTCACCACACTCTGCTACAAGCACAACATCAATTGTTCCTCCTAGTTCAAGGGGAGACCTTAATTGGCACAAATTTGTCCCTTGGACTTTCTAGCACAGCAAATGTCAGCGCTTGTAATCCCTGTTCTGCACTCCCTGCTCGGGCACCAAAACATTGGAACCTGCCAGAACATCTTGAATTAGCACCAACCTGCAGAGAGCTACAGGGGGAGAACCTACCCCCAACCACACAGGGACATTGATGGGCTGGGGTAGAGCTGAAACTAAAGTAT